TTCTAATGATAAATTTTGTTTTAATTAAAGAAAAACGTTGACAAAAGAAAATAAAGAGAAACAATGTTGTGGCCAATTTGCTATTGAGATGTGATAAAAAATTAAAAAAAAAAAAAACAGAAGGAGAAACAATGCTGCTGGAAATTTGCCCCCGCCATGTGGCCAAACAAAAAAAAAAAATTGAAAGAGAGACAATGTTGCCGGGAAATTTGCTCCTGTCATGTGGACAAAAAAAAAAAAAAAGAAAGAAAAACAATGCTGCTGCTGGAAATTTGCTCCTGCCATGTGGCTGCTTACATGGCAGCACATGATCCCGTATGTAGAATTTCGTTAACTCTGTTAACGGAATTACGTTAAGTAGATGAAAATGAAACAGTTTTAAAAATTAATAGATGATTCTGAAAGAAAGTAAAGTATCTAAACTAAAATAAAAAAAAAAGATAATAGTTAATAGATGATTTATTAAATAAAACTAGAGAAATATGGTTTTTTTTTTTAATAATCGAGTTTACAATTAAAAGGAGGATTCAAACCCAATTATTGAATTGAAAATACACCTTACAAATTGATCTATAATTATTAATAGTAAAATCAGATATCATATGCAAGAGAAATATGTTTTTATTAGAAATGACAATAGAAAAAAAATATTTTGATATTAAAAGTATTAAAATATTTAATTATAATTATTAAATATGTAAAATATAGTATAAATTTTAATTTAATTAAATTTATTATATAATTACTAATAAATATTTTGATATTAAAAGTATTAGATTATTTATAATAATTATATAATAAATTTAATAAAATTAAAATTTTTTTTTCTTTTTCCTTCTCTTTCCTTTTCCTTTTCCCTTTCCCCTTCCCCTTCCCCTTCCCCTTCTCTTTCCCCTTCAAACCCAGGCATGTTGGGTTCCTTAAGACCCAGCCCTGGGTTCCAAAAAAAAAAAGAGGAAATTTATGTTTTTTTTGTTTGGGTTTTGTTGTTTGATGATATGAGAAATT